AACGTTAAAAAAAAAAATTAAAAAAATAAATAAATAAATAAAACCATGGCAATACCAAAGGCTGATGAGGAGAGACTGAATCTCTCATACATTGTTGGCGAGAATGTTAAATGGTGCAGGCACTCTGAAAAATAGTTTGGCAATTTTTTTTTTAAAAGCTAGCAATCACCCCCTAGGCATTTATCCAGAGAAATGAAAACTTTTGTCCACAGAAAAATCTGTACACAAATATTTATATCAGCTTTGTTTGTAATAACCAAAATCTGTAAACAGCCAAATGTTCTATAACTGTAGTACATCCGTACCATGGAATACTACACAGTGACAGAAGAAACAACTATTGATAGATGCAGTGATCTCACAAGGTTGCGTACTGTATGATTCCATGTATATAACATTCTCAAAATGACAAAATTAGAACAATGGAGAATATCTTGTTAGTTGCCATGGGTTAGGGATGTTGGGGAAGTTGGGAGCTAGGTAGCACAAGGAAGATCTTTGTGGTGATTGAATAGTTCTGCATATTGATTGCTTACACTAAACAATGCCTGTGATAGAATGACATAGAAATATACATAACCATTGCACCAATTGTCAGTTTCCTTGTTTTGACATTGTGCTGTAGTTATTCAAAACAACATTTGGAGAAACTATGCAAAGGCTACACAAGATTTCTCTACTGTCTTTGCAACTCCCTCTTAATCTATAATAATTTCAAGATAAGATTTACATTAAACTAAAAAATGAAGACAGTTATAGCCAGAAGATATATGTGTTTGGTGAGACATTTTCCCCTGGTTGCAAGGAGCAATGGATTTGGAGTCATTTGGGACTTTATGGCTTACCAACTGTGTGGCCTTAAGAAAGTCAATTGACCTTTCTGAGCTTGAGTTCTATTGCAGAGAATGGTCTTTATCAATTTCCTAGTCCAAACTTTAGTCATTTGCATATCTTCTTACAAACTTAACAACCTGCCATATTATCTGCAGGCTGTAGTGTTACATATTTGTTGTCTCCCACCCCCATCAGAATGCAAGAATTTGCTTTCTTCTTCTCTCGGAACTCTGTCTAGTACAGAGATTCACACCAGCCAGTTCACCAGTCCTCCCTGCAGGACCTGAGAGAAGTGGTCAGGCAGACTCCATATGTAGCATTTGGACACCAGGAACCACCCCATCTCCCAGACAGTCCAGCCAGTTTCAGATGGTTCTAATCATCAGAGGTCTGTCCAATTAGTGAAAACCTGCCTCGCTGCTGTTTCCAGCCAAGACTTCTGGTTCTGCCCTCTAGGCCTGCATAGAACATGTCTTTCAGAAGATAGTGACCCTACCTCTCATCCACCCATCACTGCTTTCCAGGTTAATAGATCCCTCCTTCCATCGTTATTCAGGCACAATCCCCCCAGGGTAATAGAAAGAACATGTGCTCTTGAAACAAGTAAGCCAGACCCAAATCCAGACCTCAGTCCTAAGCACTGTGTAACCCTGGGCAAATTACATTTGCCTATCGGGATCCTGTGAGGATTCTAGGGGCTCATGTATGGAAAGTGCTTACGATGGCTACTGAAAGACAGTAAGGCTTCAGTGGATGGCTTCACGCTCACTGCTTTTCCTGGAGAAGGGACTACTTGGATATCAAGGGCAAAACAGGTCTCCTGATATCCACCAGGCTGTCCCTGATACCTGCAACTGTAAGAAGAAGAGAGTAGACTGGAAGAGCCCTGGGCCCATCAAAAGGTGTAAAATGACTATACCACAGACTAAGGACTCCAAAAAGAAAACCCAATGGATTCACAGACACACTTACTGATGGAGCCCAGGCAGTCTCCCCTTTTTGTTGGAGAATCTGGCGAGGGGGGGAGGGTAGGTATTTTTGCTGTACTCTTTGATGGCTGAAGTCTAAGAAAGTCGCAGAAGGAGCCAGTATTAAGGATGTGGAGTAGGAAATAAGGAGTAAAGAAAGGCATAGTTAAAGAGTTGGATGTTGGGCTGGGTTAGGAGGGTCTTAGTCTGGTTTTTTTCTTGCCCGCAGTATGACCCGAGGCAAACATCTTCCATTCTCTGAGGCTGCATTTAAATAGCTGAGAAATGCCACTTCTAAGATCTATCAGGGTATGAGTGAATACCAACATGCATTCATTAATTCATCGTTTTCAACAAACGTGCATTGGACCCTCTGGATATACAGAAATTATAGCCAGTCCCTATCTTCAGGGGCTCACTGTCAAAAGTTGCCTTTGACAATGTCAGTCTGATAGGGGAGATGAACTAGAAAAATCCTTAGTCCCAACTCAACATGAAAAACATTATGGCAGAAAGAAGGAAGCAGAAAGGCTGTGAGAACATAAGGGAGGAGGCTCCATTGCCCAAGGAGAGGAGCTTGAAAGCCTTCTTGGAAAGTGGGTCCATTCTCTCCACAGTGTCACAGACTGGTGACAGACTTCTAGGTCCTCTGCTAATTAATGCCTTCCGCCTTCCCAGATGATGTCTCGAGAAGGGCTCTGAACATTGGATCATCAATTTATGTTGCTAACCCACAAGCTGATGGGTGGTGGGGTGCTCTGCCCTTCTCTGATTTATTGTCCATGACTCAGCCGTACCCAAGACAATAAAATCCGAGTGAAGACCAACCTTTCCCGGCACATCAGTATGCTGCCGGATCGTTCCTCTTCCCTCTCAGGATGCATTAAACTCTTGTTCCTGGCCTTACCTGTCCTTGTGCTCCTGGCTTAGGCTTCCCCAGGTAACCAGACCATGGAGAGGAGGGAAAAGGGAGTGAGAATGGGGTTCTACGGATAGAATTATTGAAAAACTGATCATGTGCGGCCGTGAAGACAATCTACAGAGACAACTGAGATGTAGTGAAAAGCCTTGGTATAGTGACTACGTCCCATAATAAGGGTGGTCTGTCACTTCCGACCATTATGGTGTTTTTCATGATGGCAAATATGGGCGGAGCCCAAGGTTTCTCATATGATGTCCCCTCCGTATACAGAAGCAACTACAGCATCCCTGGTGTCCTTAATATCCTTGTCCCAAATGTCAACGGGGTCTCATCCCAGGTGTCTCTCACTCCAACCTACTTTCAATTGATACTGCCTCTGATAATAACAGGTCCCATTACTTTGCTTCTCCGTTGTTATGTGGACTTGAATGTTCCTTTAAAGCAATCAGAAGAGCTATCTTGCTCTTTATAGTGAAAAATTTGTAGGTTGACGCCCGATATCTGGAGTTTTGTAAAAACAGGCTCAAGGCGTGGAGCTGGTTAAGGCAGGTGATTCTGGATTCCAGATTGAACATGGCCATAGCTCTAACAATATGATAGATTTTATGACTGAGCAGTGAATAACTTTCTGACGGAAATATTTTCTGCTTAAGCTTCCTGGGGATTCTAAAGTTTATTGTTTTTTCATGTTTGTCCTTGAGAGGGGCACCTAGGTGGCTCAGTCGGTTAAGCATCCGACTTCGGCTAGGTTGTGATCTCACGGCGCATGAATTTGAGCCCCGTGAGGGGCTCTGTGCTGACAGCTTAGAGCCTGGAGCCTGCTTTGGATTCTGTGTATCTCTCTCTCTGCCCCTATCCATCCCCCCCACCGCCAGCTCTCTCTGTCTCTCAAAAATAAGTAAACGTGGGGCGCCCGGGTGGCGCAGTCGGTTAAGCGTCCGACTTCAGCCAGGTCACGATTTCGCGGTCCGGGAGTTTGAGCCCCGCGTCAGGCTCTGGGCTGATAGCTCAGAGCCTGGAGCCTGTTTCCGATTCTGTGTCTCCCTCTCTCTCTGCCCCTCTCCCGTTCATGCTCTGTCTTTCTCTGTCCCAAAAATAAATAAACGTTGAAAAATAATTAAAAAAAAAATAAGTAAACGTTAAAAAAAATTAAAAACCAAAAACTTTAATGATTATCCTTGGGCGGGGCGGGGGGGGGGCGGCGTGGGCAGAGAGAGGGAGACACAGAATCCGAAGCAGGCTCCAGTCTCTGAGCTGTCAGCATAGAGCTGGATGCGGAGCTCAAGCTCAAACTCACAAACCACAAGATCATGACCTGAGCCAAGTCGGACACTTAACCGACTGAGCCACCCAGGCACCCCTAAAGGTATTTATAATGTTTATTTATTTTTGAGAGACAGAGAGAGAGCACGCAAGCAAGCAAGCAAGAGCGAGAGGGGCAGAGAGAGAGGCAGACAGAGGATCTGAAGCGGGTATGCCCTGACAGCAGAGAGCTCTATGCAGGGCTCGAACTCCCCAACTGTGAGATCATGACTTGAGCCCAAGTGGGATGCTTAACTGACTGAGCCACCCAGACGTCCCTAAAGTTTATGATTTTTATTTTCATGATTTCCTTTTGGATTATTGCTGCTAAAAGCTGCACCCTCTCTTGGATCAGCTTTTCAAACCGAAAATCTTTGTCAATCACTGAGTTGTTCTAGAAGCAAAAGAAGGTAATTCTGGGCTAATACTGAGTTGGTTTCAGCCTGCTTTAAACTCTAGTGAAGGCTAATTGGTCTTGGGGAGGGAATTAGAGCTGCAAAAGACATTTTGGGGAAAGAATTTGCACATTGATTCATGGAATCAGAGTCCTCTTAATTCTGATTTTTCCATTCTGAACATCCAAGTGAGAAAGAGAGACTTGGGAATTATCTTCCAGGAGGGGAGTTTGGGGAAAAACACAAATAGAGGGAATCAAGATACTATGATCTCTCAAAGGAACCCAGGGTGTTGGGGAAGTTGGGTGTGTACTTTGTGTTTTATAGATCCAGATAAGGTTGAGCCACAATGTCATCTAAGTGCAGAGTTTTACACCATCCAGAATATCAGCCTGCAGGTCGGCAATATACACTGATCTTTCAATGTTCAAAGCCCTGTTCTAGGGCGTCATTTGGGTCATGCACCTGGAACAGTGCCTGGGACACGCTCTGGTGTTCAACAAAGCACTGTTGAGTGAATAATGAACAGAGTGGGGCAAAAACAGGAAATTAAAGGTATAGGTCCGTTCCTTGGCAGGCACGTAGATTTGGGGACAAGGAGGAACGAGTGTTGGTGAGACTGAAAAACGACAGGTGAAAACATCACAAGTACAGAAATAAAGTCCAGTTAGAGCTGGTTGAAGGAAGGGAGATAACTAC